ACGCCAGCGTCCATAGGAAAGCATTGATAATGCTTTCCTATGTGACCGGCTGAATGCGCGCGCAGCTCTTGCCGCGCGTGCGCATTCAGCCGACGGGGCTGAACGAAGGAGGAGAGCTCTTCGCCCAGCGCTGGAAAAAGGTAAGTTTAAACCCCTTTCCAGAGCCGGGCGGGAGGGGATCCCTGAGGGTGGGGGCACCCTCAGGGCACTATAGTGCCAGGAAAACGAGTATGTTTTCCTGGCACTATAGTGGTCCTTTAACAGAGAAAAAGCTAAAAAAAAATTGTAAGTTAAATAGACTTTGCAATAAAGGAAGTTTAAAAATGAGATCTCTCGTTACAGTAGGCTGCATAAACAAATTGATTTAACTCCTAAATGTTAGAGAACTGAGCAGCGAGACTGCAGGGCCATGATCTATATACCAAAACTGCTTTGTTAAGCTAATGTTTTTGGTGCGTACAGAGTCCCTTTAGTGCTTCTCAGCTTGTATTAACGATTAATACAATTTCACAGGTATATACTAGACAGATTGTTTTGTTCTGACTTAGATTAGGAAATTGGGGGTATAGCTTTTCACTTCTAGAGGATTTACGCCCATCCCTGCCCCCCACCCACATTATTAAAGGACCACTATAGTGCCAGGAAAACATACTTGTTTCCCTGGCACTATAGTGCCCTGAGGGTGCCCCCACCCTCAGGGTCCCCACCCCCGCCGGGCTCTGGGGAGAGGAAAGGGGTTAAATCTTACCTTTTTTCCAGCGCTGGGCGGGGAGCTCTCCTCCTCCTCTCCGGCTGAATGCGCATGCGGAGCTGCGCGCTTATTCAGCCAGTCTCATAGGAAACCATTTATAATGCCTTCCTATAGACGCTGGCGTCTTCTCACTCTGATAAGCACACAAGCGCCTCTAGCGGCTGTCAATGAGACAGCCACTAGAGGCTTTAGAGGCTGGATTAACCCATTTATAAACATAGCAGTTTCTCTGAAACTGTTATGTTTATAAAAAAAAAAAAAAAAAGGGTTAATCCTAGAGGGACCTGGCACCCAGACCACTTCATTAAGCTGAAGTGGTCTAGGTGCCTAGAGTGGTCCTTTAATATTTTATTCTGGATCACAAGCTTCAAAAGTCCACTAGCCAAGGGTTATCCTCATTTTCATAACACCAAGAGAAACAGGTAAATGATCCTGCTCAAAAGACCCTACAATATAGAATCAGACAGGTTTAAATGTGTCTTGCTTTGTCACTGAATATCTTCAACTTGGGTTTCAACAACTGCTAATCATGTTTAATAACATTTTATATGTATCCCTAAATGGGATTTTCCAATAAGCAAGCTGTACATTCACTAGCCTGCAATCAATGTAAGATAGCCAAGCTGGCAGCTCAACACAACAACAAGTTCAACCCAGATCCACTCCATCCCTTTATAACAGCCAGCCAGTGTTTACAGCGGAAATACGTCACCACAGACGCTTTAAATTCCTATTCCAGATATAAACACAAGAGACTTAAACCGATCTTTGCCCCCAGGGCTCCAAATGTCGAAGCCATCTTGGTGTAGGCAAAGTTCTAGAACTGCTTCGGTGTCCTTAATGCTTGTCTCGGTTGTTTAGAACTCTTATCCCTGCAATCCATTTCCCCGGTTACTCATCACTTCCTGCTTCCAGTCTGACCGGAAGCGGCTGCCACAGGGGTAGGACTGGAACAAGCTCAAGGTAGGTGTTAGCTTTACAGGTACATACACAGATTTGGGGGTCCCTGAGTTCATATCTGTTACTTATTTGTTTCATTATTTGAATCTTGTAATACTGTGGCAATTTCTGCTTATGTGTTAGAAAGATCATATATAATATATATAAAAACAACAACAAATGGGTGACCAGACAGTCCAAATAGGAGTACTAACGAATGATCACAGAGCCTTCATGGACACATATCTCTTCATCATAGGGATGAGCAGTACATGAAAAGTTCTGCCTGGAGTTATGTACCATGCATGAACTGTATGAGTAAAATAAGTTAAAGGGACACTGAAAATATAATAACCCCTAAAACCTGCTGTTGTGGTTATGGTGTCAGGGGTGAGCTGGTGTAACTGGCACCATTCCCAGTGTAATTTTTCAAACCATTTTAGAACAGATTGACTTTTCAATCGGGTCCCTCAAGCATCTGTGCCGCATCTGGTCATCTCCTGCAGAAGTCAGATGTCATTTATAGAGCTAAAGCAGGGCCGGGACAGTACTGCCCTCACTGAAAGCGTTCCCGCTCGAAGCCAATGAGCCTTTCTCCTGCATGGCCCTGCTTAGGTCAGTTTAGCTAACCAAATTTTCATGGAGACAGAAACAGGGCATCTGGCCATGGGCACCAGACAAGGCCCAGGTAAGTTGTTAAACCATTCTCAGGTGATTTGATAAATTACACTGGGAAGACACCAAAGAACTCCTACACCAAGCAAGTTTGAGACATGCTTAGTGTTAAAGCAGAGTAGGCACCTGCTTTCTCAAAATTGCAGGTTCCCACTCTGCCAAAATTTACCCGGGGGGGAGAGTTCACTGGAGGAGCTCAGTCTTCCTGCTCCTTTGCGCCGTCTGTAATGGTGCCGGAATATGATATGAAATATTCTGGTAGCCGGCATCACTACAGACGCCGCGCACGAGGGATCAGTAAGGAGATCTCCAGATAGAAGATCCCCACTGGACCCCAGGGAATGATGTGTGTGCAAGAATATGTAAATGTGTGTGTGTGTCAGTGAGTATGTGTGTGTGCGCGTCTGTCAGTGTGTGTGTGTAATAAAAATCCAGCGCTCTTCCTTATCTACTAAACAGCAACTTTGGTGCTGACAGATTTTGTTAGTTTTTTAAAAAACCCTAATCTAAGCAAAAAATAATGGGAGTTTAGTTACGTTATATAATCATACATTGCATAAGCCTGCCACAACGTCAATGTACCCCATCTTTGGCAGGTTCTACTCTAACAGCCAAATGTCTGCTAAATGAGCTACTTACTTGGGGAAAACTATGTCTGTGTCTGTCAGTGTTGCGATGGCCGTGGCTGGACAGTGGAGTACTTGGAGGTGTACATAGGCATGTGACGTCGATGTGCTCCACCTTCACAGGGTTTCAAGAAGTAGCGGGAGGATCAGCTTTGGCACATTGTGCAGGCGGCGCCATTTGGGGTATACCAGAGGCCGGACTCTGGAGTCACATACTGGCAACTGCAATGTGAGTGGAGTCTGCTTGTTGGCTAGAGGAGGGTGCTAGGATTTAGTGGGGGGTGCTGTTTTTTTTTTTTATTATTTTATACTGTTCTTTTTAAAATAAATCTGTTTCTTTGCGGTACACATAAACTTAAACCTTGTTTATTTGGCCCGTGCTGGACTTTGAGTTTGACGTGCTTGTTCTACACCAGGCTTCCCCAAACTCCGGCCCTCCAGATGTTGCTGAACTACAACTCCCATGATTCTATGAATGAAATGGATAGGCTGAGAATCATGGGAGTTGTAGTTCAGCAACATCTGGAGGACCGAAGTTTGGGATAGCCTGTTCTACACCATATCGACTACATTGCACTGTATTGATTTTGGTGCTTAGTGTTCCAGTAACTAATAAAGACAGTTCTCTGGGTAGTACTAAAGGTATTTATTTACCAGTTCTTATACAAAGTGCTTTACAACATTTAAAAATAATAAAAATGTAAAAACATTTACTTGTCCAGCAAACTAGTTGCCGCCTTCTCCTTGTCCTGGCATAGACAATTGTTTCAGACTGGGGCTCTAGGCCCTGCACATTGACAAAGTTATTTACTAAACCCTGAATTTCCGCCAAATAAATCTGAATGGAAGAATTGAGGCCAAAATAGCTGATCTGGAAGTAAATATTAAACAGCTATAGTCACAACTGGCTATTTGTTCGGATTTGCCACTCAGATCTAATTTGAGTTTGAGTTTTGTGTCTTCCCTCATAGAGAGAGAGAGAGTGAGTGTGTGTGTGTGTGTGTGTTAGCTGGGTGTAATCGGTGTGTACTGGCCAAATGTAACACATACGTTGCATGTGCTGACTGTTTTTAGTGTGTGGTGCTTTTAGTATGGATCTATGTAACAATAGGGCAATGACCCCATCTTTGTAGGTTGTAGTATTTAAGCAAGAAAGGTTGATTTAGCTTAATAGTTTCCAATTATGTCTAGGGTGTAGATTTCAAAAACACTCCCCTCCCCCAGAAATTAAAGACAGAGCTGACTTTGCTGACAATTAGCAGGTGTTACTACTTTTCACCCAATAGCATATACACCAAAGACTTAATAAGGACTAAGCCAACCTCTTGCCCTCAAAACAGGTGCATTCATTTTAAGAATGTTGTCGTACCAGTCATAAATGGTATTGTGTCAAAAGAGACATTGCATCATTTAAAAAAAAAAAAAAACAATATAGTGGTTATGTTGTCTAGAGTATCTGCCTCATGGATCCCCATTTTTCACACTTCTCAGAATAATGGTTTGATATAGAATTAGGGGCTCCATTTCTAGCCTGTTTGCACCATAGCCACTTCAAGATGCTGGAGTTTTTATGGTACTTAGACTGCACCTATAAATCATGCTGTAGAGAAATAATCTTTAGCAGGAAGCATACGTTCAGCAGAATAGCAGGAGCATAGTTTAGCTTGTTTTCATAATGAATAATTGTCTTCTAAAGCGTAAATTGTCGTGGATTGGCAACTGAATCATGCTTGTTTTATCCATCTGAGAAGAATGAAAGACTGAGTTCACTTTGCTGAAAACTGAGCCACATCATACAGGGTTATTCACTAAGTGAAATTTGCTGGGAGTTCAAAGTAAATTTCAAGTCATAATATGTAGTATGAAACAAGGGTCACTACACCATTATTTAATGTGTTCAAATAAGCATTATATCGCTCCTATATTCACATTATAGGGGAATGACATTTAAAAGGTAGCTTCACCGCAGCGTCAATTGTAGTGGATTGGCAACTAAATCACAAATTACAGCGTAATTGAAGAAGAAAACATTTTTTGCTGTTTTTTGGCGGCTGTAGATGCGTAGCAGACTTTATGGGTCAAAGTTAGAAAAGGTGTGTGTGTGTGTGTGTGTGTTTTTTTGTTTTTGTTTTTTTTCTTTTCATCATATTTGATAATTTTTTTTAAAGTAAATGATGATATGATGAAAATAATGGTATCTTTAGAAAGACCATTTAATGGTGAGAAAAACTGTATATAATATGTGTGGGTACAGTAAATGAGTAAGAGGGAAATTACAGCTAAACACAAACACCGCAGAAATGTAAAAAGAGCCCTGGTCCTTAAAGGACCGCTATAGTGCCAGGAAAACATACTCGTTTTCCTGGCACTATAGTGCCCTGAGGGTGCCACTCTGCATTGTAGATAGAACGCTCCAAGCACCACGAGTGGGGGAATATTTAAAAGGCTTTCATGTTCACTGTCTGACCTATTTTTCTTTTCTTTTCTTAAGGAACATAAAGAAAATGGTGTCTAAGCAAGCCTTCCTTTTTAGCTTGGGGTCCCTTTACCTTTCCCTCCTCTTCATATTTCTTCTTATGGACGTCTATGCAAGACCTGCAAACAACTCTGCCTTAAAAGAAAAGGCCTCGGACAATAAAGATGAAAATGAAATTTTGCCTCCAGACCACCTGAATGGAGTTAAGATGGAGATGGATGGACACCTCAACAAAGAATTCCATCAAGAAGTTTTCCTGGGAAAAGAGATCGAAGAATTTGATGAGGATTCAGAGCCTCGCAAAAATAGGAGGAAGCTAGCAGCTATCTTTGCAAAGTAAGTAATGGCCCATTAGGCAATAGTGGGGGAAATAAGAACCAACACAGATGCAGTTTATTCTGCAAAAATTTAACATACTACATTAAAGGGACTCTACAGTGCCAGAAAAGCAATCCGTTTTTCTGGCACTGCAGGTCCCCTCTTCCTCCCACCTCCCAATCCCCGGTTGCTGAAGCACTGAAAACCCCTTCAGTGACTTACCAGAGGCAGCAACATGTCCCACGTCGCTGCTTCTTCCTCCGCCGCTCCTCCTCTTCATTACGTCGGCCAGTGGGCGAGAATGATCCTGGCCGGGGAGAACTAATGCCGCGCATGCGCATTAGAGCTCTCCATAGGAAAGCATTGAAAATGCTTTTCAATGCTTTCCTATGGGGAATTGAGCGACAGGTTTTCTGTGCTATAATCCAGGAAGTGCCCTCTAGTGGCTGTCTAGAAGACAACTGCAATAATTACACTTGCAGGGTTAAGGGTAGTGGGAGTTGGCACCCAGACCACTCCAATAGGCAGAAGTGGTCACGATCCGCCGCAGCTTGGTTGGGGTTGGGGTCTAGCCATCTCCTACCCACCCTGGACCTACGACAAGGCTCCAGGTTCCAGTGGGTGAACCTCTCTCGCTCCAGAGAGTCAAGCAGGAACAGCTCTTACAAGAGCTTAGTGATTAACTATAGTTCTTCAATCCCCCAAACATGAGCCGAAACTTCATGAAGATGCAAGATGATCTGAGAGTTTAATGGTACAGGTTGGATTTTTATACAACTTTTCAGGCCAGAGGAACACCCACTGAACCTGATGGGGCACAGGACACAAATTGTACAGACCAATAGAAAGAATTTAACAATGCCTGACACTCCCACATACAGCAACAATCCCTCCCCTCTGCTTGTAATACAATTAAGGTAGATAATGTATTAACGTAATTATCCCCAAGCATAAAAAACACATTTTACAAAACCCCCAAAGTACCCCGAAACACAACATAAATCTTACATCCTGATCTGGGTGAACAACGTATCCAAAAATCACCCAGATCAGAGCAGGGGTTCAGGAAATTCCTGGAAGTCTTATTTTTGACCCACCATGCACATGGTCCCATGCCCAAAACAGTTCCAGAGAATTAGGGCTAACGGTTGGTCTCTCTGTCTGGAGTACAAAAGTACATACTTCACATGAACCTTTTAAAGTGCATTGGGCAAGGTATATTGCATGGCTCATAGTCCTGAGGCAATAGGCTGGTCAGCAGGCCCCTCCAAGAACCCTTGACGAGGTTCAGATTGTCACAGAGCCACAATCACAGGGTAGGAGGCTGGCAAACAGGGCGCTCCAAAAGCCAGTGACAAGGTGACTTGTCACAGGCTCGAAAAAGAAATACACAAGTAAAATACAGAAAAATAACATTAAAGGGACACTAATAAAATATATATAATTTTGATATTGCAGTGTTCCTTAGGCACCAATCTTTCCCACACACACACACTTCCTCCCCCCTCCCCATAAACACCAGAAAACGTATAGGTAATTCAGCAGTCTCCTTCGTCTGAGATCATCCATCTGGATGATCGTAATTACAATCCAGTGCTTCTCATTTAGGCTCTGCTGCAGTCACTGTGCTCAGCTAGTCGGATGCTTCATAGAGAAGTGCTCAGTCTAATGCTTTTCTTTGAGAAGCATTGCAACACCTATCTTAAAGCCTTTCAACTCCTAAGTAATGGTCTCTAGTAGTTACCTGAGGCATCCTTGGTGACAAATGTTTATATTGCCATTTCTCCCAAATGACAATGCTTACTTTTTCAAAGTGCTGGGACAACTTTTTGATGTTTAGAGTGTTGATTTAAAACAAAGAATATATTGTGGTTTTAGAATGTCTTTATCAATACTCACAGGTTTATTACTATACTCTGTATTGTAGATAGAACGCTCCAAGTCTAACTTGAGCTTTAAATATGTTGACATTCAAATAAAAGAACTATGAACAGAATATTGTATACCAGTAGTAGTATAAAGATAGAATTTAAACATGTATTTTGCAAAATTCAAGCATTTCTTTGTTCGCACTTTTTGACGCTTCCTAAAGAAAAGAAAGTACGGTTTTGGTCGTACACATTGGGTGAGCTTTGAAACAAAGACTAAACAGTTACCCATCAGTATGTAAGGGAGCACTGCCAGAGGTAGTGACTGTCTGCCAGGAACTGGGAAAAAAACTAATGAGCATTGCTACAGGAAGGGAAAACGAGAAAGTCCATATGCAGCCATTTGGATTAGCGGAGCAGGCCAATTTAGGGGTACGCTGTTAGAATACACTAATGTTGAGGTCATGTATTATTGGCATGTATATAGCACCAACTTATTCCATGGCGCATTACAATATTTTAGAGGAGTAAATTTAACTATAAATGATACAATTTAGAATTGTTACAGGAACAATGGGTTGAGGACCCTGCTAGAAAGAGCTCTTAATCTACAAATGTAACTGTTGTGTGACATTTGCATGGTGAACCTGTCATTCACCATGCAAGTGGGTGACATATTTCCTTCATGCCTTTAAAAGTGACATCAAATCGTGTTCATCTTGATCGGTTAAAAAGATTACTCTGTCACTTTGAGTCAGAAGCAAAATAGTGCAAGATCGCGGTGCTGCCAATGGCACAGATCTCATCATCCCTGTCCACACTCTTAGAGATTTAGGCTTCTTGTTTCCGATAAAGCATCTTAGAGCCTCCATTTACTACTAGAGGGAAAGCTTCTATTTGGCTGATGGAATGTTACAGTGGGAGGTTTTCAGAAGGATATTACAGCACCTTTTGGCACGTTGTCATACTACGGCAGTGCAGAAGCTATTTCTTTAGCCAACTAATTGTTAGACTTGGAATGTATATGTAAAACACAATTCATAAACACAACCAATGTTTTAAGTTTACTTTTCAACCTGTTATAACCCTCCTTTATTTAATTAAAGTGTTAATTAAAATGTTGAACACAGAACCGCTTACACATTTTATAAGTTGGCATTTTATAACTGAAATATAAGGTCATTGACATTTGAAATGAGTAGGAAGTATTTCCATCTAGCATTCATTGATCACCTTTTTAAGGTGTGTCAGTGAGTCATATATGTCACTCAGGACGTGTTCTGAACTAAAAAATTCAAAAGTCCTACAATACAATGTGTTCTAGTAATTTGTTACCGTTCTTCAGATTCCCATTTGGGTAGATTGGTTCAGACAGCCACTCTCTGATTTGCTTTATCATAGTAATTTTGACGAATAATCTTCATAGTTTTTTTTTTTTAATTTGACAATTTTTATTGTTTTGTCATATAAAAGGGTAGGGGTACAGAAAGTAAAGAGGGAAGGGGGGACAGAAGGTTTAAATCACGAAATTGCAGTTGTACAACATTGCTTTGTGTTAAACAAGTCATTGACATTGATATTCATGAAGTTGCACTTGTACTGTGATTTTTTTTTGCTTTATCATGTGACATCTTGATGTATGGTTAGCGGGGGATACCTAGTATACCGAGGCAGTTTATTAACATTTGTTCATGGGGTCTATCAGGGACCGTCCCTGCTGTCATCTATTGCTATGCTTTCTTGGATCAGCCTCTTTGTCTTTCTCCGCATTTCTAGGGTGTGAGGGTAAGCAGCGTTTAATATTACTTATGTAACATATATAGGATTGACACAGTATTCGTTATAGTTTATGTGTGTTCACTAATATTTGTCGGACGAGGACGTCAGAGTCCCGGGTGTGAATTTCGGCATATAGCGCATTACTTTTAAGGGTAAGTTGCTAGGCTAGAGTGCGCACCCAGTATGTGTAGGTTTAACAGTTGCTCACTAAGTATTCTTTGTTGTGGTACGTCTATTCTAGGTGCCCTGTGTTTTCATTCGCTTTTAGTGTAAAGGAGATCTGATGATTTCGTTTCTTAAGGGCCTGAACCTTGGGCTATATTTGTATACGGTAGCCATCTCGCATCTTTCATTTGTGAAATCTTGTAAAGGTCTAGTGCGTGATTTCGTGTTTCCCTGCAGGGTTCGTGGTTAAGGTTTGAGGCTGGGGGGGGGGAAAGGGATGCAGGGGGAAGGGATCATAGCTAGGGTAGTGGGTATGACCCTGGTGAGGTCCGTTACTGACGAGGACATCTTTGGGCAGGGAGTCGTGTCTTTAGTCAAGTTCAGTCGTTTAGTGTGATAGAACTTCGCTTGAGTAGCTGGCAGGTTTTGCTACTCATAGTGGCAGTGGTTTAAAGTGTCTTGAGTCATGTTAGCCTCTTTTCGCATTAGGCTAGGGGGGGTTTGGGAGTGGCTGCTGTGTTGACAGGTAGGTACGCCACATCTCGGCCATGGGGAGGCTCAGTTTCCCTATTTTGAGTTGATTCCACATTTGTAGTTCATAATCCACTGTTGTTGACAACAGAGTCTTGATTTCCTGTGTTGAGGGTAGTGTAGAGGTCTTCCAGTTTCTAGCTATTAGGTTGGAGACTGTGCTCAATATGATATATATCATTTTTTTTGCTGGTTTGGGGATGGTGTCAGGGAATGATCTTAGGAGAATTGTTTTGGGCTCGTGAATCATAACGTCTTGAATCATACGTTCCGTCGTTGTCCAGAGTTCGTTCACAGTGGGGCAGGTCCACCACACGTGTAACATTGTGCCTCTGTGTGAGTTGCAGCGCCAACATATGTCTGGTGTGTCAGGGTACATGTTATGTAGTCGTGAGGGTACCATGTACCATCTATATAGCAGTTTGCGTGACGTTTCAAAATGTGCCGCACATGAGGATAAACCTTCGTGTGTTGTGAATATGTCCTTCCATTCACTTGGGGAGAGCTGTTCTTGGAGGTCTTCCTGCCAGTCATTCATGAATTTCCATGTGACTTCTGTTTTGAGGTATTCTAGGCCGTCGTAGCAGGTGGACAGCGCTTTTTTCGGAGGTGTTGCTGACATACATTGTCGTTCAAACTTCGTCGCTGAGGTCTTTAAAGTCTGGTTACTGTTAATGATCGAGTTATCTCTCAGTAGAGCTTTTAATTGTAGGTACGAGAATGCGAAGTTCGGTGGGAGCGAGTATTCGGTTTGAAGGTCTGGGAACTGTTTCAGGCCTTCAGCTGAGTAGAGGTGGGATAGGTGCGTGATGCCCTTTTTTTCCCATTTGCTGTGTGGGAATGTGCCATTGCAGTGGTGTATTGTTTTGATCGGGGCGGTTAATTCCCACGGGTGAGCCGAGCATAGTTTTTTTTCTGCAGGTGTCCCATGTGGATAGCAGGAGTTTGGTGGTGGGCAATAGGTCCTTGGAGCTTGGCCTTACGTGTTTGGGAGTCCACAGCGTGGATGAAAGGTCGTTGTTGACGCAGAGTTGGCTTTCCAGCGCTACCCATTGTGGAGGCTGGTGTAATCTTCATAGTTTAAGCATGTTGCTGTAATTGTGGCTTACCTCTGTGCCACAGATGTTTTGAAATGGGTTGTTGGCGTGACCTGTGAACTAAACGCTTTATGACATTCATGTGAACCTATTCCTTTCATATTTAGCAATGTATTTGGTTTGCATGCCTGCGAAAAGCTGTGTCAGACATTAGCTGAATTCTGCCTTAAATAGTAGCTCAAATAGTGCCTGCTCCCTTTTGGGGTTGAAATGGAACAGTCAAATTTGAGATCACTGTCGTGGATGTGATGTCAGTAGGAACTCTGTAGTAGTTGTGATGTCAGTAGGAACTCTGTAGAGGTTGTGATGTCAGTAGGAACTCTGTAGAGGTTGTGATGTCAGTAGGAACTCTGTAGAGGTTGTGATGTCAGTAGTCACTCTGTAGTGGTTGTGATGTCAGTAGTCACTCTGTAGTGGTTGTGATGTCAGTAGTCACTCTGTAGTGGTTGTGATGTCAGTAGGAACTCTGTAGTGGTTGTGATGTCAGTAGGAACTCTGTAGTGGTTGTGATGTCAGTAGGAACTCTGTAGTGGTTGTGATGTCAGTAGGAACTCTGTAGTGGTTGTGATGTCAGTAGGAACTCTGTAGTGGTTGTGATGTCAGTAGGAACTCTGTAGTGGTTGTGATGTCAGTAGGAACTCTGTAGTGGTTGTGATGTCAGTAGGAACTCTGTAGAGGTTGTGATGTCAGTAGGAACTCTGTAGAGGTTGTGATGTCAGTAGGAACTCTGTAGTGGTTGTGATGTCAGTAGGAACTCTGTAGTGGTTGTGATGTCAGTAGTCACTCTGTAGAGGTTGTGATGTCAGTAGTCACTCTGTAGTGGTTGTGATGTCAGTAGTCACTCTGTAGTGGTTGTGATGTCAGTAGTCACTCTGTAGTGGTTGTGATGTCTGTAGTCACTCTGTAGTGGTTGTGATGTCTGTAGTCACTCTGTAGTGGTTGTGATGTCTGTAGTCACTCTGTAGTGGTTGTGATGTCTGTAGTCACTCTGTAGTGGTTGTGATGTCTGTAGTCACTCTGTAGTGGTTGTGATGTCTGTAGTCACTCTGTAGTGGTTGTGATGTCAGTAGTCACTCTGTAGTGGTTGTGATGTCAGTAGGAACTCTGTAGTGGTGTGATGTCAGTAGGAACTCTGTAGTGGTTGTGATGTCAGTAGGAACTCTGTAGTGGTTGTGATGTCAGTAGGAACTCTGTAGTGGTTGTGATGTCAGTAGGAGCTCTGTAGTGGCTGTGATGTCAGAAGGAACTCTGTAGTGGCTGTGATGACAGTAGTAATTCTGCAGTGGCTGTGATGTCAGAAGGAACTCTGTAGTGGCTGTGATGTCAGTAGGAACTCTGTAGTGGTTGTGATGTCAGTAGGAACTCTGTAGTGGTTGTGATGTCAGTAGGAACTCTGTAGAGGTTGTGATGTCAGTAGGAACTCTGTAGAGGTTGTGATGTCAGTAGGAACTCTGTAGTGGTTGTGATGTCAATAGGAACTCTGTAGAGATTGTGATGTCAGTAGGAACTCTGTAGTGGCTGTGATGTCAGTAGGAACTCTGTAGTGGCTGTGATGTCAGTAGGAACTCTGTAGAGGTTGTGATGTCAGTAGGAACTCTGTAGTGGCTGTGATGTCAGTAGGAACTCTGTAGTGGCTGTGATGTCAGAAGGAACTCTGTAGTGGCTGTGATGACAGTAGTAATTCTGCAGTGGCTGTGATGTCAGTAGTAGCGGTAATGTCTGTAGTGGTTGTGTAGTACCCTGACCCTGTTTCCAGTAATGGGACAAACCAATTTGCAAATGTTTACCCTCTTACCTGGGTCCCCCAGGCGTTGTGAGTCCTTTTTGGTGACGTACATCCAGTTTCAGCAGAGCTTCAGATGCGATGCCGTTGCTATTCATTGGCTGACAGCGTCAGTTGATTGAACTCAGCCAATGCATGCAATTCTGTGCATAGATTTATGCACAGAATTAACATTAGCCAGCGTGGAAATCCTCAGTGACACTGCGGGAGATGGAGTTACACCTCCAGCAGCAAAGAAGCTAAACTCTGTATGTGCAGCACTTCATAGCAGAATTCTGCATATACAGACTCTAGGCACCATGAACCCTTCAAATCACTAAAGTGGTCATTGTGCTTGGAGTATTTCTTTGGCTGTGGCTCACTATGAAACAAAATGTTTGGGGTTTTTTCAATGTGTTTACTTTAGAAGTTCTTATCTCCTGCTCTCTAAATTGGACTTTAATCACACTCATGAGGCTCCTGCAGGCTCTTTCAGACAGGTTACAGAAAAGGATATAATACATTCTAAAGTCAAAACTGCAATAAATGAAGTAGACAGATTAGATCTCTCTTTACAGGAAAGGTGTAGGAAGTCTACGTAAGTCACAGGCAACACAAAAGGGACCAAAGCTGCATAAACCGTGATTTAACTCCTAAATGACAGATACAGTGAGACTGTGGGGACATGATCTATACTCCAAAATCACCTACTTAAGCTAAAGTTGTGTTGGTGCTTACAGTGGATACTCTAGTCATCTTAACTACTACACAGTTTGACAAAAGATGCAACTCTCCTGGCACCCAGGTCCGACGTGCTGCTCAAATAACGCAATTGTACTTCTGTATTATACGTCCAAACCTGTTAAGGATTGGTAGGTTGAAAGAGCTGGGCAAATTTGACCTCAGATCATCATTGTTGTCCAAAAGTGGACAGTTTTGTACAGATAAGGCAGGCGTATAATTTCTATATTGTTAATAAAGAGTAGAATCTTCAGTCGTTGGCTGATGAAAGAACATGCTCAGAGGCATGCTACCATGGCTCCCCTATCATGGTTAGGGAAGCTAGAGTGCCCCTTTAATATTCATTAAAAAATGTATTATTTTTTAAATTTATTTATTTTATGTTTTCTGAGAAATCTGATTCTGTGCTGACGGTAAGATTAGGATAGGACCGTAATCTGCCTCTTCCTGCTGGGAGCACACATTGATGTGGTACATTTACCCGAAATTATGTCTCAGCATAAACTCGGATAACCTGAACACTAAAACAGTTTTACAACCTCAGAGCGAGCGAGGTTACAAAAAACAATCCCACACAGACTACTAGGTGCAGACTGTGTGGTTTTGTACTTATGACTCTCGTAGATATATTTTACATTATTGCTTGCTTTTTTGTGTGAACCAATACATAGTCACGTCTCATGCCCTGCAGGTCTCTGTTGGCCAATATTTTTATGTAGATGTTCGCATACCTTTCAGAATTTCAAGCTAAAGGACTAAAAATGATGAAAAAATTATGAAATTAAACTGTTTGTATGTATATGTATGTATGTATATGTGTGTGTGTATGTATGTATGTGTGTGTGTGTGTGTGTATATGTATGTGTGTGTGTGTGTGTGTGTATGTAGTAGTTAATTTTATATATAGTTTTTAGTTTATTTAATCAAATCTTCTGGGTATTTTATTCACTTTTCTCAAAACAGGTACTATGTTAACGTCACTATTAAAGGGAATATCTTGTGTCACAGCCCTTCATCGGATGGGAAAAATAGATCAGTTGTATTATTTAGTTTACAGTGTTGAAAGGGAACCTGGCATCCAAAAAAACTGTGGATGATTTTTTTTTCATTTTCAGGTAGTTTTAGATCTCATGTTTGATTTGTGCTAGCAAAATAGATAACAATTATATAGATTAAAAAAGATATACTTGCCTTAAACGCTTCTTAATCTACATAAAAGATGGCGTGGGGAAATGGGACTGGCGCAGTGATTAAGGAAAAAAAAGGCAAAAAACTGAACGTCCTGTATACTTGTGTGTTCTCAAATTAGCTGTGAAATTCTATCCTCTATACTTTGTGTGTTTTAAGTGATTATTAAAAGCTGAAAAGTTGTCCCTTTTTATATTCATTATAACTCACATGGCAGAATTTTAATACCATACATTATAATACGTATCGTTGCTACAAGCTGGGTAATATAAAAAGAAAAAAGGAGGACCACCAGTTTAACCCCTTAAGGACACATGACGTGTGACATGTCATGATTCCCTTTTATTCCAGAAGTTTGGTCCTTAAGGGGTTAAAGTATTTGGGTGTGATCACGGATTTCAAGAAGGACTAGAGGAAGTTTTGTCAAACACCTGAGCTCTCTTTGGGTTCTTTGCTATTTTGGACCTTGATACATTTGATGAGAAATTCATTGAAGGTTTTTAATGATGTGTTGAAGTCTGGGGAACCTCATTGCCAGTTCATTTGCAGAAAGTTTTAACTAAATTCGCATTCTGAGCCCATTCTCCTTTCGGTAGTAGAAGGGGAAATTTATAATAAACACACATCACACATTTGTCTGCTAGAATTCTGACAACTTCCTATTCCTCAGAGGTTTATCAGCCTGATTTATATCTAAATTGTGAACATTGGTGATCACCTCTATCATACACAATCATGAACTTGGTGTTGTTTGAGAAATGTGTATTTTTACAGTAGATAAAAAGCCAATTTGCCCATGTAGTCTGTCCATTACCTATGTAAAAGAAAAACACATTTAAATTCTGTTACGGTTTGTCTTGACAATCTCTTTAAAGGTTAACAACTCCTAAAACAATAAAAAAAAATTATTACTCATAGATAAATTATATGTTTAAATGTTTTAGTAGCTGTTAACCAATGATTACCTGTACTCCATCTTGCCATTGCCTCCATGATCCAGATATCCGTAGCCCCCCCACCTTCGTCCCCAGTCTCCCCGCTAGGGAATACTTCCTCAAGCGGTGCAATCCTCCCACATGACACTCGACATTCCTATATTTCACCTTCAAACATGAGATGCGCATGCTGAAGCAATATCGCAGCAACTACAGCACATGAGCTCTATTTGCAACACTAAAGACCAGGAAACTACCCATAGTTTGGTTTACTATTGTGTTTTAGTTATAATGCAGAATGTGTTGGCCCTTCATAAATAATAAAAGTAATTTAATTACTTAGTTTGTGAATCCAGAAATCAGAAGCAGTTATTAAATTGGATCCATTCCTAATTCAACAGCAAATATTTACTTATTGCAGAATTCCTCTATAGAGCTTTGTTTGTTTTTTTTGTTTTTTTCAATAACTCTGGTTTAATTTGTCATTCATTGTCATGAGGTTTTTCTGTATAATGTTCCCAGGCGAATTCAAGTTGCATGGTTTATCGCAGGTAAATCGCTTGATCCCTATTAATTTATCCAGATATATGCAATGCCCATGTGCAACCTAAAATTAAATTTTTATTTTGTTTGTTTCTGAGGGTGTTATTTTCACTTTCTCACAGCTTTGGTTAAAAAAACTGCAAGAGGTGGGATGTGCTTTGTTATGAATGGGGTCGACAATTCTGTGGTTTCCTGTAGAGCATTGATCTAATACATTTAAAACCTGAAAAGATAACTTGTCGTCAAGGAATTTAACCATCTTTTTTTTTTCTTTTGTTCATTAAACAAAAAATATAAAAATCCTTGCAAGTCTGTGTTCATGCCTTCATCATAATTGTTCATGCATAGTAATATTGAGTCATTGTGGATGGAAGAAAGGGTTACCTGTGCACTGCTCTAAATCTTTAATAATAACATAGCAAAAAACAGGGTATAAGAGTATACTGAGAACGGGCAGCAGCTGAAATAGCCTGCCCTTCGGTGGGTCCCCGCTCAGATCTAAAGCTGGTTTTAGCAAAAAACGGGGTGCAAGAGAATACGGAGAACGGGCAGCAGCTGAAATAGCCTGCCCTTTGATGGGTCCCCGCTCGGATCTCAAGCTGGTTTTAGCTCATCTTGTGCCATTACAGAGAGAACATCTCTGAAACATATCAGACTGGTCCCACCCATACGGGCAGTCCAGATCCGAAATGCCAGCAAGTTACCTCTACACGAGAGACGCAGAGCGAACTTGCTGACATTTTGAATTTTGACTGCCCGTGTGGGTGGGACCAGTCTGATATGTTTCAGAGATGTTCTCTCTGTAATGGCACAAGATGAGCTAAAACCAGCTTGAGATCTGAGCGGGGACCCACCAAAGGGCAGGCTATTTCAGCTGCTGCCCGTTCTCAGTATTCTCTTACGCCCTGTTTTTTGTTCATAATAATAACATACTTAAAGGACCACTATAGGCACCCAGACCACTTCAGCTCAATGAAGTGGTCTGGGTGCCAAGTGCCCCTAGTTTTAACCCTGCAACTGTAAACATAGCAGTTTCAGAGAAACTGCTATATTTACATTGAGGGTTAATCCAGCCTCTAGTGGCTGTCTCCCTGGCAGCCACTAGAGGCGCTTTTGCGATTCTCAGTGTGACAAGCTCATTGAACACACGCAGCATGAGTTCAGATCCCCATAGTAAAGCATTGAGTAATGCTTACCTATGGGCGGTTTGAATGGGCACGCAGCTCTGGCAGGGCATAACCCCTTCAGCCACGGGAGGGGGCCATGAGGGAGGAGGGGACCTAATAACACTATAGTGCCAGGAAGAGGCTCTGACAGTCAAAATCTTTTCTTTCTGATATGTACAATGTATCCTTACTTCACATACTGTCACTTTGCTCTTGCACAGTATTAGCAATGTTATGTCACTTACATTGAGACACCACATAATCTATTGTGTTGGTTGTATGCTGGGTGTCCTTTGGCATGGGCCTTATAGTCCGCCTCCACTGCGTGCCACATAACTATCCTTCTAGCCTAACTACTATTCCTACCTTTACAAATGGACTGGACCAAACACTAGGGATTCACTATTGCCATTTCACAAAACCTGCACCTTGGTATGCTTATCCTTTTGTTTGTTCCATACATCTGTACCCCTCATACAACCCTATTTCTCCATCCAGCAGCTCAGGACTAACATTGAGCACTCTGCCTCCTGCTACAATACCTCTACACATGGCCCTCACTAGGCATTCACTCCAAACGTTTACACATGGCCCTCCATGGGCACTACGACAATTTCGACCCCTCATTTGGGCAATTACATATGTCAATTTCCTGATATACGAGAGTCAAAGAAATACAACCTTTCATACTACGTTCCAATATTACACATGGCCTCGTTAGGCCCACGCAAGTCTTTTCTTTATGGCCCTCTCTCGGCACACTCCCGAAAACCTGGAACCTATCCCTTTTGCATTTAACATATCCAGGCTTCTTTGGTCTGTCACTATTTTAACTGTTTAGTACTTCCACTTTAAGGCACTTGCTAGTTCTGGTATTTTGCTTCCTGCAGTACGCTATGGGTTTTGATTAGATGTTCACTTGGTTATTTCTCAGGGTGTTCTTTTTCATACATAGTTCAGGTTCTTCTAGTGGAAGGATGTGCCGTGGGAACTCATGCCTAGATTTGGTACAATCAGGTATCCAGTACCAGCTTTTGATGTAAACTGTTAATTTTGAGTTACTCCACATGTCTGCACTGTTATGTTTTATATTATGCCTTTCTGTCACTATTCCTACTTGCTCCAAACTTGCGGCTGGTTATCCTCAACGTGATAATTTGTAAGCTGTACCCTCGTCTCTTGACATATACTTCACAGGGGTCTTGTTGTTCAATTATTCTGATCACCTCCCTAATGGCCTAAATCTTTATCCCAAGTTATACCAGGTATGCTTGGATACCGACCATTGCATATCTGGGGGTACTTTTGCATGTATGGTCAACGGAGTCATTTATTACACTGTTCAATTTCCTTTGGTTAGTTTGGTAACAGATATTGAGTATTTTGTGTCCTGGTCTCATTGCACTTACTTTAGCTACCTTACCGGCAATCTTTGTTGCATTTTCATTGGTGTTGGTGTCGTAGTTCTGAATTATGAATACTAAGTTCTTGGGTCTCTCTCTATTGTTGGATTTTGGTTTTGGATCTATGTAAACATATTCTTTTGCCCTCCGCTTTATATTCCCCTATTCTTACCATCAACTTCTAGCATAGATTTATCTGCCAGGTATATGTCTAATCATGCCACACTTATTGTTTTGCATTTACGTTTTTCAAGTCACCACGTAAGTGAGTTGCTTTACGATACTACCTCCCTTCTTACAACAACCACTCGCTCTACAGAACTGATCTTTAGCTTGGTCTGGCTGTTAGGGTAACCTAAGTGGCCACAGGTTGTTTTTGGCTTCTTGTGCCACTATATAGCTGTCCCGCGAGGCCAACTCCCATCCTCAACTACGGAGGTATTCGCCTCTCGGGCCAAATCATAGATACTACCTCGCATTTCCACCCTCTTGGCAAAAGCAGTTAGGGCCTCACCTGTCTCGGCCAACTTATTTTGAATCTCTTTAATCCTCACCGAGAGACCAACACCCCGCCACAACGCTCGGTGGCAAACATACCCAACGGGCCAAATCCTAGGTAGAGCCTCTCATTTCCACTTGGCAACTAGTTATTTTCACAAGTCACAATTTAGCTTAATTGTTTTGCCACTTGGTATAAAATAGGTCAGCCAGTATCTTGGTGTTATACAGTATCTCCCACTAACAAATTTTCTCTTTCAGGTATGGTTATAAATGCTGATAAAATGTAAAGTATTGATTGCGTAATGTAGACCCGTATTAAAGGGTTAAACTATAAAATTTGTGCCCTCTTTTTACAGGCCTACCCAAATGTCGGTTTCTGCACACCACAACCGACTTGTGCACCACTAACATAACTCGGCTTATTGTCCCAGACCACAAATATATATATATATATATATATATATATATATTTTCCTTTATCTGTGTATAACTATACATATGTACAGTTCATAAATATTCTGGACATTTCCACATTTTGTAGTGTTCCATCCTGGAATTAGGGTGCCTACATGCCTATTTTATAACGATGAGTTGTGGGTTTAATACCGTAATATTCCACAACTTATAACATTTATATATCACTGTCAAAAGTCTGCATTTTTATTCTTAGAAAAAAATACTGCATATGTCACATCTGCGTAATAAAATACTATATGATTACATTTTAGCATAAAATTATAATTATTTTACTTTATCAAAATGATCGACTGTTGCCGCAGTAGTAAATATATACCGGTAGTTTGGAATTGTTCTCGTGTGTGAAAGCAGATCAGGAAGTGAGATAAGGCTGTATTGTTTTTCTTTAAGAAGGTAAATGCGTTTTTTTTTACTGTGACTCTTGATTGCGACTCTTTTATATGTCATTTGATGAGGTGTGGAATCTTATCTTATAGTTTTACATCCACCACTTGGTTTTATAAAAATAGCCACTGATTCATGTAGACATTGTCTACGCATATTGTGCTTCTCCAAAATCATATTTATTCGTTTGGCTGATTGGAAAAAAAATGTGAATATTTCTGAAGAAGGAAGAGTTGTACATACAGGGTGGAATTTCCACTAGTCTGTGGCTAGTGAAAAATATAACTGATCTGAAAGAAATGCTAATTTTTCTAACTTGGTGACATTAAGTAAACTATAATCTTAAATTCTAGTAATGATTCTTCATGTGTGTCAGATGTCTTGTTCCCGATTAGTGTCTCATTTGTCTTTGTTTTGAAACGGAAAAAAAAAAAATACTCATTAGATCTGAAGGACTCAAGCAAGAAGGAGTGTTTTAAGAAAGACCGTAAATGCCAAATTTAAAATGAGAATTTTGAAAAAAAAAAGATCTAGCTTTGGTAATATATATTTTTTTTAATAAATATACTTGTCCTTTTTAAATGGAGAAAGGAACACCATTTTGTTAGGAATACAGTTTTGTTTTGTATTCCTAACTCTATAGGGTCTCCTCACTCTTTAGATTAGATTAGAGCTCCCCCTCTAAATTTAACAGAAACAAAGGTTTTACTTATGGTGTTTTTTTTTTTTTCTTTCTTAATGCCATGACTCTCTTGATGCTGACTCCCAAAACGCATTCTTAGTGCATCACTTGATCTTCTCATCCAATCCTGCTCACATTGGAGACGAGTATGCGCATGCATTCAAATGCTTCTCATACGAAATGCAATGAATCCATTGCTTCCCTGTGAGCTTTATTTGACATTGAATGTCACATGAACGCATCAAACCTCATGTGTAACCTCAGCACAAGTACCTCTGGTGGCATTCAAGAAGACAGATACTAGAGGGGTGTTTAACCTTCAGCAAAACATTACCATATCTACAAAACGGCAGTGTTTTAGATTGAAGGGATAAAATTAATGGGCCAGTTCACCCAGACTGCAACACAAACTTAGGAAGAAGAAGAATGATGTTTTGATATTTAAGTTGGGGGAAATTATGCCTGTGTTTGAGCCCGTTTTTATTATTGTCGGTTGATCGTTTTCAGGGTGGACACTAACAAGGATGACCGGATTAGCGCCCAGGAGATGCAGAGCTGGATCATGAAGAAGACAGAAGAACATTTCCAGGAAGCTGTCAAGGAAAATAAGATTCATTTCCATGCTGTGGATCCTGATGCCGATGGTAGGAAATTCTAATTTTTGTCAAGTGACCCTTTTTTTTTTCATGCCGCACGTGATTTTCTTTTTAAACTGAATTTCATGGCTCTAGGCATATTAGCCAGTAGTTGTTAGGCAGGTATATTTTTAGATAGGACACGTCAGCATGTAATCCTTCTAAATTAAATAGTGCCATTATAGTGAAATTTTTGCAAGATTCCCCCCCCTCCCCCTCCGGCACCGTGTCCTCTGAATGAAGGCACCTAGTAGAATGTCTGGAGAGGGAGATCTAGTGATCTCAAGTTATTCACCCTTTTACAGACATCTTCCTTAGCTTACCTGGCATGCCAGCGGTCATGTTACCTTTGTTCTCTCACACATGCACAATAGTACAAAATGGAGGCTTGTGGAACATTCTGTGAGATCATGAGAAAATTGCCTTTTCCATCAGTCGAGACAAGACGACTTTAAATAATATTTTACTCTGCCGTTTCCATGAGCAGATTGTCTGTCTTTATTTTAAAGTGTCTAATTTGTAGTTTTATTGAAATTCCATTGTAGTTTACAGGTTTTACATAAAAATTCTAATAATAATAAAAAAAAAAAGTGGAAGCAACATGACCTCATGTCTATTGAAAACTAGTGAAAGTTAAATGTTAACTTCATTTTTAGTACTTCAATAATATTAATTTTCGTGATTTTGTGAAAAACCATAGCAAAAGCATATATCAGCATGTGAATTGTGAAAGAGATTATATCGTTTCTCGATATGTGCTCTAGCATAACCTCTTTTTTTTTAAATTCTTTATTTTATTTGTGCATAGAGTGAACAATCAGATTTGCACTGCCACAGCGGCTGGCACAAGCAAATATGTAGACATACAATAACATTAGTATGGCATCGAAAAACATTGCACGTTTTTTGTTATAATCTGAACGTGAAAACAAGTTTAGTGTTAAACAGGCTGGTACGATTTGACATGCTGATAAACTGGGTAAGTAGTTGCTTGCCTATGTACGAGTTAACCCGCTAAGGTCTTGGTATGTCAAGCTAGATTTTCACAAGACAGGCATGCTAAATGAAACATGCGAAACGTTAGATACATTTGAGTAGACTGTGTATAGTAATATGTTAAGAGAGACTGCGTATCTATACGGTAGGTAGGTGTAGCATAACCTCTTTTATAGCCCAATGCTCCTCAACTCTCTCGTCAAGGCACACCTAACAGTTCAGGATTTTGGGATAAGCTGGGTGTATCCAAGTTGTAAAAATAAATAAAAAATAAACACCTTAGACTATTAAGGTGTTTTTTTATTTTATAGTTTTTTCCCCCTTTTTCTAAACACCTTCGACTTACACGGGTAATCTCGAAAGCCTTGGCTATTAGGTGTGCCTTAAGGAGCACTGCAATAGCCTGTCTGAAAAGATTTGATGGTGCTAGCAATCATTATGATTGACCAGTTTGTTAAAGAAATGTCTTGGGGAAACAAGCATGCAAATAATGCAAAAAAGACTGAGTGTTTTGTCACCTTAAATGATTGCAATAACATTAAATTCAAATGTTTATTATGTGTGTTTAGACTACTGGAACCCCCACTTGTTTAAAAAAAAAAAAGAAATAAAAACTTAAAATGCCTGTGTAATTAAAAGCTAGGATAATCTCTTCGGTGCAGCAGCTATATCGCTGATAAAGTCATCATTTATCCATCATTTATCCAATGATTCTCGTAGAGAAGCATTGGGGGGTCATAGAACAAGCATTCAACTATTTCAGCTCTTTGCCAATCACATTCTTCTAGTCTAGAAGCTTTGAGTCCAATACTTCTATGATAAGTATTGGCGTGCTTAGTGTCAAATGGCGTGCTCTCTGACAAAGTCTTAGACATGGCAGTATTTTCCAGTGGCTCATGAAAAGGGGCAGCATGTATGGACCAAAACCACATAATTAAAGGAAAACTAAAGTGTAAGGAAAACAAACATGTATCCGTGACACTGTCTAGAAGTGGCTTTTTAAGTCCCCGGCCCTGTCCTTTCTCAGTAATTTTAACTCTCTCTTTCTCCCACACCACACTGATCTTGCCATGGCTGGCCCTGCCTCCATGGATGAGATCATCAATCGTGATGATCTCAGCCAATCCAATGTTTTCCCATATAAAGCATTGGGAGGCTATTGTGCATGCACAGCAAGACGCTGCGCAAATCGGCATCTCCTCATAGATAGACATTGAATCAATGCATCTCTATGGGTAACTTCAGCATCTCCATTCAAGGCATGGACGCCCTGAACGTAGGTGCTGCACACAGTGCAGAACTGGACTAGGAATCACCTTTAGTGGCCGTCTGAGTGATTGTCACTAAAGGTGTTACTAGGCATCACCGTCTTTTCTCTGAAATGGCAGCGTTTACATTGAAATAGCTGCAGGCACAGGCTATAGAGACCAGAACCGCTACATTAAGCTGTAGTGGTTAGAGTAACTATAGTTATCCTTTTAGATGAATTTACCATTTAATTTACACAGAACACATTAAAGGTGCAAAATATTTTCAAAATATTCTCCTTAAAGTTAATTTATCTCGTGGCCTGATGTCACTCTACAGAGAATATATCATGAACACATTGCGCTGGAAAATTGCTAGCAAATATATAGATGAGAAGTTTCTTCACAAATCGTTTTTTGACCGTTCTTAGTGTCTGACACAAATATTTCGTCTACTATGTATAGTGCAAACATGGTGGTCAGGAGAAGATGCACTTCCTTTTGCACCACCTTCAATTCATGCAATAACTTTCCACTCCTCCAGTGTAGGTAACCATGGCACTCCAGTTGTTGTGGACTGCATCTCCCCTAATGCTTTGCCAGCAATATGGCTTAAATAGTATTATGGGAAATGTAGTCCACAACATCTGGAGTGTCAAAGGCTGCCTACCCCTGCACTACTACCAGGATTCACATGCATGATCGGCATTGTGGGGCGCTTTGCACCTCATTTGGTGGTCGGGCAGTTGTTTTTATTGCAGTGCCAAAATATTATCAATTAACTATACATGACATTCAATAAAATATAAGAATCCAACAAAAGGTTACACTTGGTCAGGGCTCAGGATTTCAAGTTCAAGCTATTAGGCTTAAATGTGACCTGTCACTATAAGCACTGAAGGTCTGTGGCACACTCAACATGGGCAAATTTCTGTTCAAGCATTAAACCAGACTTTTCTGTTGTTCTGCAGGGCACGTGTCATGGGATGAATACAAGATCAAGTTTTTGGCCAGCAAGGGGTTTAATGAACAAGAGGTGGCAGACAAGGTGAAGAATAACGAAGAGCTGAAGATTGATGAAGAAAGTAAGTTCCCTGTCATCGTTTTTGTGGCAATAATAAATTAATTCTGTGTTCATTTAGTACCTGGACTTTGGTAATTATTGCATAATGAGGGCTCTACGTATAGGTTCTAAAAGTGGAGAAATCTGCAGGAACTGTTTGTTTTACCAATACATTAATTTATTATATCTACATGTTTTGGTGGGGGTCTGCAGGCCAATTCATTATTCTATTCATAAATCATAATTCTATTCAGGGGATTATTAGTTGATTATTGTAGTCACAAAAGCAAATCATTTTATATACATTTTTGCAGGGATGGTGGATGGAAGTATGTGGCATTCAGAAGCGAATGACTACTTTGCACCTAAAATTGTCCTTACATAAATCCATTAAGATAATATTGTTAACAGATTAAAGAAGCTACTTCACTGTAGTGGTTCTGGTTTTAGAAATGCTCTGCCATCCATTCTTTGTCTCCACTACTAATACATTGCAGGGATTAGCTCATTGGCTGAGAGCGATCAGCTTATGCTTAGCTCAGGAGAGCTAACGGTAGCATGTGCTTAGGAGTTTTTGGCTTACCTTCAATCAGGGCTGCCATCAGAAGTGACAACCATAATGGTTGTGACAAGGGCCCGGACTGCTCTGGCAGTCCTGCACACCACATTCCCTATGTGCACATATATATAGCAATTATTGATATTGATATTGATATATATATATATATCATCTATCGATCTATCTGCGGGATCTTGCCGGCTACCTGTTACTGCCGAGGGGGCCCAGAACACATTACAGCTCCTCTCTAACTCTCGCGAGACCCGTGGCTGTCAGATCGTTGCAACTGGTTACCATGGCAACACTCCACGTGGCACCCAAGCCATTCTCGCAAAAGTTGTAGAGGAGCTGTACTGGGCCCCCTCTGCAGTAACAGGTAGCCGGGGGCCCCACCATTCCACCGGACCACCAGGGAATGGAACCTCTCCCCACCCTGGACAGAGGTACGAAGCAGGGAGGGGGGAATACTATTTTATTCAAATAAATGTGAAAATAAATTCACGTTGTGAATAAATGCACATTGTAGGCCCTAGTTTACACAACATTTACACAAACTGCATACAATATTAAAAATCAAACAAACACCACAATCTGCATTCACTGCACTGACACACGCGCACTCTGCATTCACTGCACTGACACACGCGCACTCTGCATTCACTGCACTGACACACGCGCCCTCTGCATTCACTGCACTGACACACGCGCACTCTGCATTCACTGCACTGACACACGCGCACTCTGCATTCACTGCACTGACACACGCGCCCTCTGCATTCACTGCACTGACACACGCGCCCTCTGCATTCACTGCACTGACACACGCGCCCTCTGCATTCACTGCACTGACACACGCGCCCTCTGCATTCACTGCACTGACACACGCGCCCTCTGCATTCGCTGCACTGACACACGCACACACGCGCATTCGCTGCACTGCATTCACTGCACTGCACACACGCGCCCTCTGCATTCGCTGCACTGACACACGCGCCCTCTGCATTCGCTGCACTGACACACGCGCCCTCTGCATTCACTGCACTGACTCACGCGCACTTTGCATTCAAATAAAATATGGTTTAGCAAAATTAAACGGTTATTTATTTTTTATGTCCTTCATACATAAAATAAAATATGTATTTTTTAATTTTTTAATCTGCCTCTTGACATGGGCCTTTCGGTGAACCTGCTTCCATAGCACAGAAATATATATTAACCACTCTTTGCATGCTTTCACAAAATGTTCCTTACATCTGGGACCATCATCTTCCACCTGGTCATAAAAAAAATTGTTTCTTATGGTATACTTTCTTTTCATTGAATACAGAGACTATGAAGAATGCTTGTACTTGTTCAGAAATCTACTTTGATTCAAATTCTACCTGCCTTTTGTCTTTTAAAATCAGCTATTTATACATCTCTACATGATCAACATCTTTCTGCATTTCACCTGTTAATATAAACTACCTGTTCAATTTTACAGCACAAGAAGTTCTAGATAATCTGAAAGACCGCTGGTTTCAGGCAGACAACCCTCCTGCTGATCAGCTGCTAACCGAAGAAGAGTTCATGTCTTTTCTGCACCCTGAACACAGCCGAGGCATGCTCAAGTTCATGGTGAAAGAGATCGTGAGGGATCTAGGTGAGCAGAATGTGTTCATCATAAGTAAATGGTATTATTGTGCATATACGTTTTATATGTTTGAAAAATCACATCGTAGAAGAAAAAATACATTTTAAATAAAAGCTAGGGTCGTTTTTAAAGAAGGATACTACAGACCTTATTAAGCAAATTAGACAAAGATAGTCAGGGTGACACGTTGCTTGGGGCCCATTCTTCTGTTACTGTCAACGGTTCCTTGGAAGGTTAGTGTTGACAGAGTTCTGCTGAGAATATTTTGGTGACATTTTTCCCCTCTCTCCTGTTGCCCTGCATCTTGGGATTCTAGAATTGGTGTCACACATGAACCTGCCGATAGCTCGAGCTGAGTGAATTGGTGTTCTCACTGGTGGAGAAATTATGCAACTGTAGCGCAGGTCAATAAAGCAAATTGAGGGTTACATAGTTGCCTATGTTGCAAAAAGACTAAAACCCATTATTTTATGCTGTTGATCCAAAAGAAGGCTAAAATCCCTAATTGTAGCCATTTCCAATAATGTCACAAAAAAAGGGGAAACAAATCCTTCTTGACTCCATAATGGCAATCAGATTTCAACAACCAGTTGACTGTGATTTGGGATTTTAGATTTCTTAAATGAACAGTGGCAAATCACAAGTTGAGTTCTCGGACTTCACAGATTGATTTAATGAAGCTTATGGCAGAAGAAAGTCAGGTCAGAGTCCATGCCTTGAATGCATTTGCACCTTCTCTATGCCTACAGCAAGTAAGCATGTGTCGTGTTCAAAAAAATATGCATAACTTGGTATTCTATATTGCACATTTAGTAGCTCTGTTCTGTTTTTTTAATAGCCTTTTAATGGCCAGGTTTATGAGTTTGTCTGCTGTGCAGCTATCTTGGTAATATTGTGGAGGAGGCATTTCTCGTATAATAAACGGTTACATAATCCTATTTCTATTAAAATCAAGATAGTAAGCCTTATCATCATCTTCATCTTTTACTATTATTAATGCTTCTGGAAAATACCCACATCAGATATTGCTTTGATAATTAGCAGAGTACATGGCTCTCATTGCTAACTCAGCAGCACTGAACATTTTGATTGAATCATCTTACTGAATGTTTTCGTGCAACTCTGCTCAGAAAAAAAAAATCTATTTAAATGTACCGTATGCTGTATTTAAACTGTGCAAAAAAAAGTCTGACTTTGCTTCTTTTTTTTTTTTTTTTTTTCTGATACCTGCTCGTATGGCCTGTGCCGCTGCACCCTTCCTCTGCTATCTAGCGATGAGATTATATTAGAAAAACAGGAACTTGTTTTTTTTTTTTTTTTTAAAGTGCTGACAAAACCTGCGTATAAATTTCCCCTTACCATATTACATTTAAGGTGGTATTTCCACTCAGCTGTTAATTTTAAGAGCCATGTATCTCTGGCTTGTTTATATTGTACCACCTTGAATCTATTAAATAGCAAGACTAGCAGTAAATTAAAAGGCATACTTTATAATCGGTAATACAAAGCTGTATTCCTGGCTCTATCGCTCCCCCTGCCTTCCCTCAATGAGCTGAAGTGGTCTGGGTGCCTACAGTGTCCCTTTAATAGAAAAACCAGAAGCTTCTTGTCATTATTTTATTTTGTATTGTTGATACTAATTGTATTACTTGTAACTTCATGTTATATCTTACCTGATGTTGTAATCCTGCCCTAGTACTGGTCTGAATGAATAATGCATCTTGATAATATAAATGCTGTATGATGGAAGTGATGCCTATTTATAATACATTATATAGATACCCCATTAAAAATATGCAAATAAAATAAAGGTAAGACTCAGGGAGGGGGAAAATACACTTTAGTTTTTTTTGTTTGTTTTTTCCCCTCCTCAGCCCTGTCCTCTTAGTCAGCCCCTGTCCCCCCCTTTCTCAGCCCCTGTCCCCCCCTTTCTCAGCCCCTGTCCCCCCCTTTCTCAGCCCCTGTCCCGCCCTTTCTCAGCCCCTGTCCCCCCCTTTCTCAGCCCCTGTCCCACCCTTTCCCTGCTCCTTTCCCCCCTCTCAGCCCCTGCCCCCTTCCTCAGCCCAATGCGCCACACTACAGCCCCATAACATCCCCACTTCAGCTCCTCTCCCCCAATTGCAACCCATATCACCCACACCACATCCCCTTTCCCAAATCGTAGCCATCAACCTACTTCAGCCCCTATCCCCACATTGCCTAAACCCCCAATTACAGCTTATACCCCCCACTACAGCCCAGTCTCTTTACTCAGCCTCTGTCTACTGGTTTTAAAAGTGTAAAGTTTGGGTGTATGTGTGTGTGTATGAGTATGTCTGTCTGTGTGTGTGTGCGCGCGCCAGTATGTCTGTCTATATGTGTGCCAGTTTGTCTCTGTGTGTGTGTGTCAGTATGTCTCTGTCTGAGTCAGTATGCCTGTAACAGTGTATCTTTCTGTGTGCCTGTCAGTGAGTGTGTGCATGTGCCTGTTAGTGAGTGTGTGTTTTTAGTGTGTGCCAAATCAGCAAGTGTGTGTGCCTTTCATTGAATGTCTGTTTAGGTGACTGCTCCACCCCCCCTTTCGATCACATGGGAAAGGTGTTTTTACTCTGCTCTTGGTGCAATGGGCCACTTGACTGGATTTGCCCCCCAGGCCTAAGACTGCCAGCCCTCCCCTGACCATAAGCACCAAAAAACTTTAGCATAACGAAGTGGTTTGGGTTTATTCATTACATTCTGGCATTTGCCTTACAAATTGTGGTTCCTTACAGAAATGTGTTCATCCCATCACAACTCCTTAGCTGTAAATGTATCTCTGTGCCAACTGCATAAAATACAAGATGGAATCTTCAGCTAATAAAGTTGCATCATATTGACTCGCAAATGCGGTAGTTAAAATATTATCAGTCTTAAAGGACCACTATAGTGCCAGGAAAACATACTTGTTTTCCTGGCACTATAGTGCCCTGAGGGTGCCCCCACCTTCAGGGTCCCTCTCCTGCCCGGCTCTGGGGAAAGGAAAGGGGTAAAAACTTACCTTTTTCCAGCGCTGGGCGGGGAGCTCTCCTCCTCCGTTCCTCCCATTTGGCTGAATGCGCACGCGCGGCAAGAGCTGCGCGCGCATTCAGCCGGTAGCATAAGAAAGCATTTACAATGCTTTCCTATGGACGCTTGCGTGCTCTCACTGTGATTTTCACAGTGAGAATCATGCAAGCGCCTCTAGCGGCTGTCAATGAGACAGCTGCTAGAGGAATTGGAGGAAGGATTAACCAACATAGCATATGTTTATAAAAAAAAATGGGTTAATCCTACTTGGACCTGGCACCCAGACCACTTCATTAGGCTGAAGTGGTCTGGGTGCCTAGAGTGGTCCTTTAAAACGACTTATTTTCAGGTTCACTTGTACACCAGCCGCATAAAAGCTCTTTATCAGAGTAAAAAATGCACATATTAAAGAAATTAGTGGTGAATCCTGCCCTTTTTATTACAATCTATACAGAAAAGGGTTCACATTAATAGTGAGAATACAAGATGACTTTATTTAAAGATGCCTGTTTCTGCACGATTTATAGATTACCGTTACTGTCTACATGCACAGGTTGAGCTCTGTAGAGCTGACTAGAGAGCATTAAGCCATGTGTGCAATATACCGGGTGGCATTTATTTAAATGCTACTATGCAAGGTGCAGTTATTATCGGGGTCATAATTAATGGGGCAGTGTAGTTCCTTTACTCAGGTTAGCAATTTGCATGCGTGATCCCTTTCTGCTGGTTTCATTATTATTAGTATTGAAAGTATCAATGTAGTAACGTGAGTCTGTCATCCACAAAACACGTAGATCACAAAGTCAGCTTTAATTTTTACAATGTGCTGGTGAAATAATTTCCTACAAACGTAGATACTTGCCTGAGGTTTGTGACTTGGTTGTCCACAATGATTGACCGTTACTAAAGGAACAATTTTGGCACCATAAAAACAACGTAATCTGAATTAAGATGCTATGGTGCCCGGGGGTTCCATTTAATGCAGGTGAATGCATCCAACACTCCCAAGTAAAGTGTCTTGTGTAATTATTTCTTTTTTTAAGGCATATCGGCTGTTCCTGTCTTGTTATGTAGTTTTGAGACTGCAGCATTTCTGTCAACAAAGTATAAAATAGGCATTTGATGTTTTTCATAGATGTATTTGGATAGGACAAGGTATGCATAAAATTTTGAACCAAGGAGAATAGCCCCATAATTAACATATTTTGTAAATATTTATGAAAACTATCTATGTAAATTATTTTATGGGAGCACTCTGTACAACATAATCACTACTTCTAAGCATAGTGGTTATGGTGCAATGAGTCTGTGGGCACTATCCTCTCAATTGGGCTCTCCTTGGTAACTCTAAATCCACCCTTTCTTCCGCCACTCTAGAGATTTCACTTCTATATTATCAGTGTGAAATTTTGTATAGCTGGTGGGGAGTGGTTATAATACTTATTGTCCCTTTAACTTTAGTTATCTATTTGAAATTGCCAATGCATACCTTTCTTTTTCCAAGGTGTGAAACAACTGTCCTGCTCTTTAAACACCTTTTTTGTTATTTATTTTACTGTAGATCAAGATGGTGACAAAAAACTCACCCTCTCAGAGTTCATCTCTCTGCCTGTTGGCACTGTTGAAAACCAGCAAGCCCAAGATATCGATGATGACTGGGTACGAGACAGAAAAAAGGAATTTGAAGACGTTATTGATGCAGATCACAATGGAATTGTCACAATGGAAGAGCTGGAAGTAAGACAATTTGTGTCATAATAATGTCTGAATAGCGTGGCTGGAAAGATGAATAATTTTCTAAATTGTGTTTAGGAGTGATTTTTTTTTTTTTGTCTTTCATTGTTGAGAAATACAGAAATGTTTCAAATGTATGTCCAGATAGCATTATATTCTGTATATACGCCTCGGGTAAAGGGCTTTATGTTCAATATTCTGGTGTGTGAATAAGAAATATCTCTGTACAAGTATTCTAGAATGTTAATTTAATTATGTGTTTTGTAGGAATACATGGATCCCATGAACGAATACAATGCTCTCAATGAAGCTAAACAAATGATTGCCGTCGCAGATGAGAACCAGGACCACCACTTAGGAAAAGCAGAAATCATGAAGTATAGCGAGTACTTTACCGGCAGCAAGCTGATGGACTATGCCCGCAATGTACACGAGGAGTTCTGAGTCTCCCCCTGCCCTGTTCTTATTTAAGATGGCTCCTCTTCCCCTTTAAATAAAGGAGGTCTTGGTAATTTCAAGAGATCAGTCTTGTAGTTTAACGGGAAGAGGAGGAACGCCAGTTTTGCTGCTACTACCCATGTGTGTTTTTAGTGTGCAGTATTGAGTGGGGTGATCACCTTCCCTGCCACATGCAAATCATTTCCATGGCAAAATTTGCACACGCGTAATGGCTTTTGGTTGCTTCAGTCATTTTTCGCCACCCTATTTTATTGATGATGTAGAGCGCCTGCAGGTCACCTCTCTGCTATTCCCCTTTGCTATAGTAGAGCTGTAATGCATCAGAGGCCTGACATTTAAAGAGCCGACCATATAATGTGTCTTCTGCTAGCATTCTCTGGTTGTTCTTGGTGGGGAAATTTGCTTATTTATACATTTGACACAGCTTTGTTGGGACACCAAGTGGATTCTGCAGAATGTAAAACGGAGTCCATGACATTCACAGACTGGCTTATGTTTTATCTACATTGGGGAGTTACATAATTTGTGGAAAATACACTGTGGTTTCGGGGTAAATTTTAATATTTAATGTGCATTAATGTCCAACAGATTATACAAAAAAAAGGCAGATAATATTCTAAATGTGTTATTTTCAAATACAAAATAAATCTAAAATTGTAATGAGGGTAAATATATATATAAATATATATATATATTTATTTATTTTTATCTAGGAAGTGTACCAAGTTACGCAAGTGAAAGTAAAATACTTTTTTTTTTTTTTCCCTTTTATATTTTTGACTAGTTTGTTTTGTTTTTTTTGTTTTTTTTGGGGGGGTTCTGTAAAGGAAACGGGAAAAGTACTAAATATTTCTCTTACAGGGTAAATCCAAAAGGGAAGTCTTACAGCAGACTGAATGTTTCCTTTAGATGTGGGAGAGGGGGTGGAGGGGCGCCTAAGTTGAGCAACAATAAAATACCAATATTATATTTACTTGTATCGAAAATCATAATCTCAGATTCCTGTTAAGGAGCAGGTGAAACCGAAAACGAGAATGGATTTCAGCATAGTCTATTAGTCGACTATACGATGGTAATGTGAAAATCTCATTTTATTTTAAGATCTGATAAGAGTTGACATTTCTAAATCAAATTATTAGGGCTAGTTAGATGGCAATTGTTCATATGTTTGAGTTCTTTGGGGATTTGTGTTTTGAGGGTTTTTTTGTTTTGTTTTTATTTTATAAATGTGTAATTTATATTAATAAAAATATAAATAAGTGTAACATTTGTGTCTGTGAAAGCAAAACCTGTTTTAACCCCTTAAGGACACAGCTTCTGAAATAAAAGGGAATCATGATGGAATATTTCCGTCATGTGTCCTTAAGGGTTAAGATATTGCTAGAATTGATCCAACGTAGAAGCTATTTTTGTGATTGATAAAAGTCTAAACGTGTGTATTTTCCAACCCCTTCTCCAATTATTTATTTATGAGATGGCCATACAGATTTCTGTTGATCTTTCTATGGTGAGAAGACATGCTGGAGCAATTGCTTATTTGAAGAAGATTGTATCCAGTTGCCTACATCAAGGAAAACCAGCTTTCAGAATGTAAACTTGGACTAATTCACTGGTAATTGATCTACAGAGAGCTCGGAGCTTCAAAACAGAGAACTAGGTCCTGGTGCTCAATATTGCTTTTCGGTACAATCTGCTTTTTCTAAAAAAACAATAGCAGACTTACGAATGTGGAAACCAATGGAGTGTGTCCGCTGGATTATTCAGGTTGTAGATGGTTATTCTAAGATGAATATAAATAACACCAGTTATATCAAATACTTATCTGCTTTATGGGGGATCATATACACGTGCATTTAAAATAAAGAATTGTGAAGTGTGTAGTATGGGAATATAATACCATTAAGAGGCTCTGGAGACATCACATCATTTAAGGTAGAGTGAACATCTAGATGTCCCTTTTCCAGGATATACAAGTCATTGCCGTGTATCATTTCTGTTACATGAATTCTTTAGGGGTTATAATATTGCTGGGAAACCGAGCCTGCCTGATATTAGTGGGTATTATATGCCTATGCAAATACCTGCCCATGTCCTTAATTCAGCTCATCTACCATTACCGATATGCTGGGAGAAGAGCTGTAGTGATGGGGAAACCGTTTGTTTATATCTAAGTTGTTTGTTCCTGTTTAAAATTAAGGACAGTAACAGAATATAGTCTGCTGCCCAGAAGTGTAATTTCCACTATTCTTGAGCAGACTCTAACTGATATGTTGTACTACTGCCCTAGGATTGGTAGAACCAGTGTTGCATAGTGTCAGTTGTGGTGAAACACTTTTTTTATTGCATAATGTTATATCTCCCTCTTTGCGGTATCGCTAAGTAACTCACACAATGACGTGAATGCCACACATTCTCATTAAGCTCTCTCAGTCTGGTACAAAATGTCCTCCACTGATTATCCATGTTGTTTCTTTCAGTGTTCTCAGTTACCAACAGTGCCATGCTAACTGCCATTTAACTCTAGTATTAAGGCTGTATTTCAAGTTTCCTGGGCTTTTTACAAATAATCTCAGTTAGTAAATGTACCATATGCTGTGGCTTATATTTCAAAAATAAGCCAGCAATAATTATTTAATATTGAATCCAGTGACACGTATTCTGTTTGTACCAGCTCATGTTACCTGTTGTGTTATAAATGTCAAAGTGATGTCTGTAACAATAAAGAATCCAAAACTGATTAAATCTTTGTTTTGCTTGTTAATAGCATGCTACCTTTAGTCAAGGAACAGTGTTTAAAGGGTTACTCCAAACACCATGACCACTGAATTGATTTTAAGTTATCATGGTGCCTGGAGTCTGGATGCGCAGAGTTTTGGTATGAAATATGGCACATACGGAGTTTAACCTCTGCTGCCAGAGGTGTAATTCCACCTCTGTCGGCATTATTGGCCTGTTTGTTCTTTGCAACTTTCATCGCACAGTGTGCCATTCATTGGCTGAGAGTAGTCAGCTGACACTCTCCGCCAATGAATGACTACTGCCATGGCTTCTGACACGCAGCAAGTATTGCTGTTTCTAAAAACCTCAGGAATTTAAAGTATGCAGCTTCTTAAAGACACCTCTAGAATATAAGACAATGACTGTATGTGGGCATAATGCCTATATAAACTAAGTAAAGTTTCCCCAAGCATCTCTACTGTACTGGGGTTTACAGGCAGTTGTTGCAGCCTGCAAAGTGTTCTGGTTGTCTATGTAATGTCTCCTAGAAAGCAGTCATGACATTTGATATTCAAGCATTGCGTGTGTGTGTGTGCGCGCACACAATTGGAGTAAGGTATCCTTATGGCCATCTGCAAAAATGCAGAGGACTAGACACAATTTAAACTTTGCTTTTCTAGAAGCGACATTTAATACCTTATATTTAGTAGAAATGAAATGACACCTACTTTTTACAATACAAACAAATTTCTGACCTAGGTTTAGGCCCAGCTTTTGCAACTTTAATACCTGTGCAACTAAAGGTATTAAGCATTTGCATACTTGTTTACAGATGACCAATAATTCAGTCATTTTTGCTGAGAAGCTCAATAATTCTTACCTGCGATACGTACTCATATTGGCAGTTTCCTCTATAAGTGTGTGCAAGTCATTTAGAAAGTCAAAGTAACGAAACCACTAATGCAACTGTGCAAGATGTTTTTCTGTTTTAGTATAAGCAGGATGTAAATGCACATTTTGCACTTGTCCATGTGTACTAAAAAGGTATACCCTCTCCAGGCCAGCACATACTCTTATATAATAGGGTCTCTAGTAATCAAGCAGATTGAGAAAAGGTTTTCACTTTTCTGGGTGAGTTTGTCCATATTAATTAATAACCCCCCTTTCCCTGAACCATGTGTATACGGAATAGAACTAGTGTACAAACACTACTTATCTTCCCTTGCAGTGCCATCGATCAAGCAGAGAACCCCACTCCCCATTACATTTAGTCCCTCTGCACTGGGCAGGGCGGCTGTAAAAGTCCACCATCACTCTACTACTATCGCTCTGTACTGAAAACTACAACTTTTACAACGAAAATGCTGCTAAATATCAGGCAAGGAGGAGAGCAGAGAACTGTTTTTTACAGACATTCTTTTTACAGCCTAATTAAATATTACTAAGTGTGGCGGAGGTCCTGTAGTCCGACAGAGAACTACCGCCCAGTCTGCTTCCTAGATGTTTGCAGGTACCCTGGCAGAGTTCCGCTTCCAGAGAGCTTCTCCTTGGAGCTCTTTCCTTCCAGGCAGGTTTCGTCTGCTCTGCCTATTCCTCTGTAGCCTGCCTGCAATATGATAGCGCCTATCTTTATAAAGACACTTGCGACCCTCAGGCCTAGCTCTTTTTTTTTTTTTTGACCCAGGTCTAGAGGGATCGTGCAGCCAGCTAACTGGTCCAAAGACCCTGTTACTGGGATTCCTAAAAATCCACACAGGGCACACATTTGCAAAAAGGATTAACATACTCTGATTATTTTTGGGGGGGGACGGGACAAGGTCTAACCTTGGGGACTAGTCCTTAAGCACGTGGTGACAAACATACAAAATACATAGAACATTAATAAATGAGCAATGAAAATTAATACCAGAGCTATATAATACAAAAAAACACTTTAAAACACAATAAAAAGCAACAATATATGGATTTAACCACGTGTTTTATTTCCCTCATTTGCATACCTGCATTATGTAAATGCTCACACTTCCATTCAACCAGCATAAAGCGCTGCAGGGTTCTCAAGTAACAATGAATTGTTTGTACATTGATTGCTGCTATTACACACCTCTTTCAGGGACTCCTAGGACCTGGTCCAAAGTCTGTTGGTAAGAAACTGGCTTTCAAACTTCTCCAAAAGGCCCTGACATGGGAGCTTCTGTCACACTAAGCCTCAAAAGAATACCCATTCATGTCTCATAAGAGATCAAGGTTCTTCACTAAAGTGAATTTCAAATTTAAGGCCAAAATATCCAAATTAGAAAATGTAACTAATTCAGCTATGCTACAGCTATGCTGTGTGTTTGGCTACTTTGGTCTAAAATGTTAAGTTTACTTTGAATGCTCACAGTAGCTGAAAGCAAAAGGTGTATTGTTAATGTAGGACTCGCCCAAGAGGTTTGCCTTGAATTGGCAGATGATCTTACATTTTCCTTAATGGCTATTTAATGGCCAGAAATATACTTTATTACAAAATAAACAAACACAATATACTTAGTAGTAAAAAACTCTTAAGCAAAACACGTTTTGGCTGTAGCTGGTCTTCCTCAGGTGCATATGCTGTGTAGCTGGTCCCAATGATTTATTCCTCAGATGAAGATGAGGAATAGTGATGTCCCGAACTGTTCGCTGGCGAATAGTTCCAGGCGAACATATGCGCTGTTCGGTCTGCCCCTATTCGTCATCATTGAGTAAACTTTGACCCTGTACCTCACAGTCAGCAGACACATTCGAGCCAATCAGCAGCAGACCCTCCCGCCCAGTCCCTCCCACCTCCTGGACAGCATCCATTTTACATTCATTGTGAAGCTGCATTCTTAGTGAGAGGATGGACAGTGTAGCTGCTGCTTATTTGATAGGGAAATTGATAGCTAGGCTAGTGTATTCAGTGTCCACTACAGTCCTGAAGGACTCATCTGATCTCTGCTGTAAGGACAGCAACCCAAAAAGCCCTTTTTAAGGCTAGAACATCAGTCTGCTTTTTTTTTTCTGTGTAATGTAATTGCAGTTGCCTGTCTGCCTGCCTGCCTGCCAGCCTGTGTGTCAGGCTCACAGCATATACTGTGCCCAGTGCCACCACTCACTCACTGGTGTTACAATAGCTTGCATTTAAAAAAAAAAAAACCTTTTTTGACTGTAATATAATAGCAGTCAGTTTCCTTCACTAGTGTGCATTTCAGGGCCTGCCCAGTGCCACCACTCACTCACTGGTGTCACAAAAGCTTGCATTTAAAAAAAACTAAAAACTTTTTTGACTGTAATATAATAGCAGTCAGTTTCCTTTACTAGTGTGCGTTTCAGGGCCTGCCCAGTGCCACCACTCACTCACTGGTGTCACAATAGCTTGCATTTAAAAAAAACAAAACTTTTTGGACTGTAATATAATAGCAGTCAGTTTCCTTCACGCGTGTGCGTTTCAGGGCCTGCCAGGGCACAGTGTCACACCAGTGCAACTCATATCTGGTGTAACAGTAGTGTACATTTAAAAAAAAAAATTTTTTTTGACTGTAATAGATTGAATAGCAGTTAGTTGTCTGCCAGCATGTGTGTCAGGCTCACAGCGTATACTGTGCCCAGTGCCACCACTCATATCCGGTGGCACATTAGATTGCACGCGCAATGCCCCAAATTTGAAGTAGGAGGACCGACCAAGCATCTTTTTCCATCTCCCGGTTCCTAAAATCAATGCCATATACACGTCCCCTGATAGGGGACGTAACAGGGATGAAACTGATAGGAATAGTACTACTTAACACACCTTATAATAACACAGAGAGAGGCGTCTGAAGAAGAGGAGTCAGAGGAGGAAGGTGGCTTTGAGGAGGTGGAAGACCAAACACAGCAGGCGTCCCAGGGGGCTTGTTGTCACCTTTTGGGGACCCTTGGTGTTGTATGTGGCTGGGTGGAGGAAGAGACCTTCAATGACATCAGTGAGGACAAGGAACGGGACATGGCTAGCTTGGTATTCAACCTTGTGCAAATGGGGAGTTTGCGGTTGTGCAAATGGACTGTTTGCGGTTGTTTGCGGTGGGTTAAACGGGGAGTTTGGTCTGTCACTGTGAAGAGGGCGTAACCTTTACACTACCTGATCGATACAACATCATACCTGATGTTTTAAAGCACGTTATTCCAAACAAGAATGTTAGGTGATTTATGCCCTTTATGGATTAAAACCAGACTCTGCATCAACTATGTAATTTTCCATGGGAGTTTTGCCATGGATCCCCTTCCGGCATGCCACAGTCCAGGTGTTAGTCCCCTTGAAATAACTTTTCCATCACTGTTGTGGCCAGAAAGAGTCTCTGTGGGTTTTAAGATCCGCCTGCTTATTGAAGTCTATGGCGGTTCGCCCGGTACGCCGGTTTGCGAACATTTGCGGAAGTTCGCGTTCGCCGTTCGCGAACTGAAAATTTTATGTTCGCGACATCACTAATGAGGAACCATAAATTAAATAAGTAATATACTTTATTATAAAATAAACAAACACAATATACTTAGTGGTAAAAAACTCTTAAGCACAACGCGTTTTGACTGTAGCTGGTCTTCCTCAGGTGCATATGCTGTGTAGCTGGTCCCAATGATTTATTCCTCAGATGAGGAACCATAAATTAAATAAGTAATATACTTTATTACAAAATAAACACAATATACTTAGTGGGAAAAAAAACTCTTAAAGGGACACTATAGTCACCTGAACAACTTAAGCTTAATGAGGTTGTTCAGGTGAGAACTATAGCTCCCGGCAGCCATTCTCATGTAAACACTGTATTTTCTGTGAAAATACAGTGTTTACATTGAAAGCTAGGAACACCTCCAGTTGCAGTCACTCAGAGTAATCCAGAGGGACTTCTAAGTTGATGGAGGCATAATATGCCTCCATCCACTCAGATCTGCTGTGCACGAGCATCCTGTGATTCAGTATCTCCTCCCACTGCATGCAGACACTGAACTTTCCTCATAGAGATTCATTGATTCAATTCATCTCTATG